TATACCAACCGGCTGGAGCTACTACGTTGCAGTCCCGATCTTCCATTGGGGATCACGTTACGAATGCAGCAACGATAAAGGGACCAGTGTGGTCTCGTTTGATTCCACGTTACTTGCCTCTTTCTTCACAAATGGACTGACACTCGTGAAAGCCACATTCGTGAAGAGCGTGTCTGTTTTCGTTGAAATCGATGATGCAAGGAACACACATTTATTTTATTTCAATTGTTGGAGAAGCGCAACTTATTTCAGCAACCACGCGTAGTAGTCCTCCTCGATATCAAAGGTGCCATCGATTCAGTGGATCGATGTGTCCCTTGGAACTGTTTGATCAGAAAATGTGTGCCCAACAAATACGCAAATACTATTCGAACGCTTTACGCGCGTAGTTCGGGCTTATAGCAAACTGTTGGAGATATTATACATTTACGGCGGTGTGAGACCAGGACAACCTCAGTTACCATGCCCTTTTAATTTCGCCATTGATGAGAGCTTAAAAATTGCATTCACTGGGCGTGTCTTACAAGGTGGGCAGTTGCTGCTAGGACCAATATTTCGATTGCTAACAAATAACTGCTTTTGTGGGAGTTTGTGACTCTGGGGCGCGCCTTGCTCCCCGCAAACTTCAAACTTGCACGGTAGTGGAGGGTAGGTCGCGGTAAATCGCAGTTAACTTGTGGGTCATACCAATGTTAGGCAGTAACCCGTGGCCCAGTGACTAACTCGCGGAACAATCTCTACGTGGTGTTAGCTGGGTGCATCCGGTTTATCTCGTTCCACCAAATATCTATTTGGCAGTGTTTCAGGTCGTAGTGGGCTTTCCCCATAAAAAGCCATAAATGTCGGCATGGGGGTGCGGCGGATGTGGCTCATCACTTCATCAAGTCAATGCTCCGAGCATCACAGGACATGTGACCAGTATGTAGTAATTTCAACTCCAACCAAGCTAATGAACAAGCATCCACGCATTAACACGGATAACGGGAGTTGACGAAGTGATGACGGCCGATGGCTTAAAGGATTACCGCATATTACCGAATATAAGTCCGTCCATGGATAGGCTGACAGTATAACTCTGCAATACCCAACTTAAAGCATTGAGTTCCCTTTATCAGTCTGAACAAAACAATAAGAAGACGAGCACTTCAAGATGGCACCATTTGGTGTTATCTGATCACTTGCAAACTAACAACACGTAAGGGAAGGAAACGACGTGAGCTAAGCTGGGAAGGCACCGATGATCGAACGTAACTAGCCTCCTTACCTTTGTCTATCGCATAGGACAGGTTTCACAACCGCATAGGAGGGTTGTACAGGTGGTTGCATTGTCAACTACGCCCTTCAGGGCGAGAGTAATGCCACGTCAACGCGGTATATGGCGAAGGTTAGCAAAAGCGGCTCGAGCTTTTGCCATACAGTTCGTGATCTCATCTTCAATCTCACGGGCGTTGATAAAATTGCCAAGATGCTTGAATTTTTCGACTTCTAGATGATCACCGAAAAGGGTCAGTGCAGGAATGGGTGCCTGACAATCTTGGAGAATCACTTTTATTTCGATGATGCAAAGCATAGCTCGAAACGACTGACAGCCAGAGCTAATTTATCCAGTGCAGCTTGGCACGTTCGGCGGCTGTCACAGATGAGCGCAATGTCACCCGTATACTCCAAGTCAAAAAGTCGTTCACCAGAAAGAAGCCCTATACTTGCTAATTCGTGCCCGGCGAGCATCGTTTCCATGACTTTGTCACTGGCGAAAGAGGAAAGGTGAGAGGGGGCAACCATTGTCTCACAACGCTGGAGATATCGAATGGCGGTGAAAGCTTGCCGTAAACCTTCACTCTGTACGAGCTACGCACGTATAATGCTCGGATAATATTTACACATTTCGCAAGCACACCTTGCCTGAGTAGACATTCTCAAAAAGCACATAGATCAACCGAATCGAAAACCCCTTTGATGTCTAGGAACACGACTACGGTGGGCCACCAATAAACATGGCGGTGCTCCAACAACTGACGTAATGTGAAGATATGGTCAGTGCAGCCTCGATTTCGATGAAACCCGGCTTGCTCCTTGCGCATCTGGCTTTCACGAGTGCCAGACAGTATATGAAGGACGACAGATGCAAGTAACTTAGAATCAATGGAGATCGGATTGGTTCATCTATGGTTGTCGTATTCGAACGGGAGCCTCCCTTGAAATCTAAAACTACAGTCAAGCCTGTCTAAGGCGACCACTCAAGGGACCGACAAAAAGTAGTCAGCTTGGACAGGTTCATGCATAGGGACATTACTCTTATAGAAAATGTTGGGGATGTCTTTGACTGGTCGCCATAGGCAGGTGGCAGATATAGCAGATTGGACTGTCTGACGGAGCAAGTCGTCTGCTGGGACAGCTTCCTGCTTCCATAGATTCACTGTTATGTAAGCCGTGCAAAAGAGCAGGTCCCCAATATTTGAAGAGGGTTGAATGGAGTCCATCTGCTCCGGCGGCCTTGTTCAATTCCAGAAGTCTGATCTCACGTCCGATTTCTGCACGTGAGACTGCTGGCGAATGTGAGCACCTAGTTCGTGAAAACCCACGTAGGAACCAAACATCCTGCACACTTTACACCGCTCCATAACCAATCGCAACGCCTCTTTTATGAATGCAGTTCTCCCACAAGAAAATTCAGAAAATATAGATCATTGCAATGCATATTATCAGAATAGTCATTTCTAACCTAAGGGGACAACAGTCATCCACCTAGAAAAATTCCCTTGGTGCTTTCACACACTGGCGACCCGATCAAACAGTCACAAACGCAGCGACACCTTACGCAAATTCAATTAACACAAATACACAGTATAATATTGTATGATGAAACAGAACAACAACTTTACAAGGATCACAGGATGGCAAATATTACTGGCAAACCTGCGACATTATTTAATACTTTTCTGCAAGCCATGGTCGTCAAATGAGAAAACCTTTCAGAACCGCTGTTCATCGGCCGACAGCTTCTATATGCTGCTGTGGGAAGTTGTGACTCTGGGAGCCAGCTCTGTTCCCTGAAAAGTTCGGAAATTGCATGGCAGTGGGGGATGAGTCGCACTACATCGCGGTCAGATTGTAAAACATGCTTGTTTTCCACCGTCATCCGTTACCCAGTGGCATAAGCTGCTATCTCGTAACGAAGCCCTCTAGTGTCGATAAGTCATGGGCTCGATTTCAGATGGGGCTGAGGTTGCGTACAACTGACGAGTCCCTGTAGTATCAAACGGTCGTCTGGTGCCTTAGCTAAAGAGTAGTACGCCCATCTGACACCGGAGACGATGAAATTGTTCTAACCTGCGACAGTTTACAGTGTAAAGCAGCATTGGCAGTCGGCCTCTTTGGGTTGTGCTTTACATCCCCCACATACAAAGCTTTCTATAGAGTGGCAGAGATCACATATGCTGACCCTTGGTGGCGACCAACTAGAAGACGTTCAGAAACGAGGAGCTATTGCTCACATTCGCCATTTATAGTGCCGACGCGAGATCACTCGTGCACTGGAGGGCAGACTCTACAATGCAGCCCAACGTTCAAGCCTCCTGTACGGTTGTGAAACCTTGTCTATCAGAGTGACAGACGTAAAGGGGCTAGTTGCGTTCGTCCATCAGTGCGCAGTTTGGCTCACATCTAGTGAAAACGCCACGTGAGCATTGAGTATGTCCCGCGTCTGGTTTATGGGACAGGGGGAGCAAGTAAGCCATTTAGTAACAGTATTTTAAGCACCGGGTTTCGATGTCCGGGTCGTGTGTTATGCGGGCCAAGACACCGACTGCTGCGACCGGAGTGTGGATGGAAGATAATGGTAGGCCATCTGACGATCTGGTCAAGAGGAATGATGGCTTTCGTTACACAGTTGGTTTCGGTTAGATCCTCTCCACTCACTGATTGTTGTTCGAAAGACGATGGAAACGTTTGTGAAGGACTTTTGTTCGCATGGCGAAGAACCGACCTCGTTGATGTTGGTGTTGAGTTTTTGTCCCACCTCACGCTTGGCATCCTCTAACCACAGTCTCACGAATGTTGCATACTAAAAAGCGCAGCTTAATGACTTTCTGCGTTGTTTTTTCGTTTATTACCATGTTATTTAGTGTTTTTCGGCGCAACATTCGGGGGACGTCCCGCTTCCGGCTATCGCATATGATGGTGAATAGCAGCACTGATTGCTCGATCGGTTTGTACTTTTGTGATTAACCAGTTTCTGCATATATCCTCAATTTGAGATTTCTTATGTCGGCTTTGCAGTACTGCGGGAGGTTTTGTTAGTGTGGATGCAGTATTGAAAGACTAGACCAGTAGAAGCCAACTGTGAGAGCATTTTGAAGACGTAGGGCGATTTGAGATTATCTTGTTACGACTTCCAGAAACGGATATTGGCCATAATCTCGGTTTCCACACTGCAAACCATGTGCGTGCCGTTATCTGTCAATGGCGTGAACATTTCTGTTGAGAGACATGTTACGTTTGTCAAATGCAGATAAGCTCATTTCCATAAGGCGCTGTCATTGCAGTCAAATGCATCGTTATGATTAGCTTATTTATCGTTGGTTGTCTCATGAGAAAGATGCGATAAGTAAATTCCTCGATAAATAACAGTAAGGATGATTTATGGTAAGGATTCAGTAGAATTTCTTAACATCTTGTCTAACGAATGAAATTAGTGAAATTCGAATGTTCTCACTTATTACGAATTACAGACTTTGTGGAGGGCTGTGCACTGCTTCCCGGTTCCCATACTCGGAGGAGAACACGTTTCCTGATTAAAGTATTGATGTGAAAAATAACGAGAATGGGAAATGACAAGGAATGGTGCAAAAAACAGCTGATAAAAGTGGAATGTTTGAAACACGAAGGCATGTTTGGCAGGTCCGTATGTATAGGCCGCTAGAAGTGAGTGCATCTTGGAGAGCCCAGTGCAGTTCATCCGGAAGAGAAAATTGTCGAGACTACGAAAACCAGTGATATGTGAACGGTAAAACAGTATGGAGAAAATAGGAAAAAGGAAGCTAGAACATTAGACATTATAGTATTACAAAAAAGGTAGAAAGATGACACACCCAACACCACATGCATTGTGTTGAGTGTACAGGAGGAGCACAGCCACGAAACGAAAGGTAATGGAAAACGGGAATTAGAATATTAAATTCATCGTATGGAACTAATGTTGCGGTCAGTTAGTGGTGGCATGGGGGAGCGGATCGCATTGGTGTAGCAGACAAGTAAACGCGTCGGCCGGATTGAGAAAGAGCTGGAAGAGGTGGAGTCCTTCGTCAACGGAAGAGCAGTTGTGGCGCAATTCGCTGTCGGAGTGGAGAGGTTGGCTGAAAGAGTGGAAATTTTTTTAATCAGAATAAGTGCTGAAATCACGTTGTCAACTTCGGTGCAAAAAATAGGCAGGGTTGCGACAAAATTTAATGGGGCGTCAAACCATTCAGGAAGCGCAGGTCCCCACTCTGAGAATGTGTGTTTGTTGACCACGATACCTATTAAATAAGTATGAGGTTCTAAGTGCGTTGCTGCCTGCGCAAACATCAACACGATGCCACGAATAGAAGCAGCATTCGGTATGCGCAGGGAGGCTCTAAGGTGTGGAATCCGACGAGTGGCAGACGTACTTATGTCACAATGTAAAACGAATTAAAGTATGAACACAGTGGAGCATAGTGGCCAGGTGTTTCGGCTGCAACTGGCAGATGCGTGAGAAGACACACTCTCGAGCCTACAAATCGCTGGAAATAGAGATACCCTAAGAGGACACTGTGGTCTGAGGCGACAAACGCGAAAGATTGATCGAAATCTTGAGTACACAAGTGGACTCATAGTGTTACACCAAGTGTAAGCGGAATGACACAACCGGATAAATCGGATGACAGGCAACGCATGTTGAGTGCATGACCGTTTGCCGTGAGCAACATGCCATCCCTACCGACAGTAAAAGTTTCCAATATTTGAATGGGAAAATTTCATGTGTCGCTACTGAAATGTTGGTTTGTTTGGATTGGAACCCGACACGTAGTAACTGACTACTGATGCCCTGCATGCTAGACCCTGAGGTCCGTGATCAATGACTGGCACGGTTTTTAAGATTTTAGTGTTGGGTTTTAGAGTCTCTACCCCGTGTCTGGTTTGCAACACGCAATTTACGTTGGGATGGCTTATTTTGAAACAGACCTCAGTCATTCTGTTCACAAGGATCGTATCCAAAGTAGAGAGGCTTTGGGATTGCTTAACCCAAACACTGTTTTTTTCATGATGGACCTCGTCCGTGAATCCATAAGCTAGTGATTGGAACGACCGAGGCCTATTTCAAATTAAACGGTCCCTACATCGATCACATGCAGCAATCCACACAACGTTAAGTGGCTAACCGCTGTGTTAAGCATCACTCGCGGATCTCAGTGACAGAATGATCAAAGTGTCAGTCGTCAACCACTACGTGCCCGGTTTCAATCCTACCTTCGATACCAGCTGAAGAGCGCAAACAAGGAGGAAACCGGTGGCGGAGTGTAGTGTCCAGAGCAAAAAACGTAGAGAATGCCGTGGCCACCTGAAGAGCTCTAAGTACCGACTGCACAACTAGTTACTGCAGATAGAGATGTAACACAAGAAAAACCAACGTCTAGAGAAGATAGCTGTGATGGGACGAAAGATCTTGCGGATGAATGGCCTTAATGGAAGAAGCCGATGCACTTTATGGAGAGTTCATGTCTTGGCAGCAGTTGAGATGCTAATATGTTCTCCGAACTGAGCAATGTGATTTAAGACGTTTCGAAAGCAATCGAATTGGTATCAAGTTGATCAGCTCGGATAACTGATCAGCACCTCAATCGCCAACCCGAGCTACAGGTGTTCTAATCTAATGTAATCCGCAGCAGCGCCCGGATCTTTACAAGGGACTTAGAAAGCGGTTCCAAACCATGCAACAAAAAGTTCAAACGCAAGAAGTGAATCATAAAGTCGTTGTAAATGCACGAATCAAACGATGTGTTCGATAAAGTGAGCACAGGGTTCTCACCATATCTAGCACACGAAATAGTAAACAACAATACGTTCAGACAGGATGTCTCGTGAATCCTCGCTTTGTCCCGTAAGGATATAGCTAAGTGTTAAGAGCACTCCAGAGAAGATTAAAAGTTGATCATCACTTTATCATAAAAGAAGTGAGTTGTAGCTAACGGACCAAAAGCATTAATTCGCCGATAAGATACACTGTTGACATTAATATGCAAGTCCTGAGTCCGGTTCGTTTGAACGAAGGACGGCTTTGGGACAAAACATGTAACGTAGTGCTGCACCCAGCAGGGAAATACTACTCATGTGACTAGGTGATAACAGAGAATGGACGAATGTTGCTCTGATGCGATGACCCGGAATGCTTAAGAAGTCTGTGCTTGGACAGTAACTTCGGACTACGATGCTTCATGACAGTGGTCGTGTACCACTTCCGATTAGAATAATAGATTGGTGCAGTTGAATAAGAAGATCTTTTGGAGGCATTATTCGCGTTAAACATTAACTCACATTGGTCGATTTTCAACTTGTTTGAATCGAGAGAAGCGCTGGTGGCCTCCTTAGCCGTGTGCATTACGTTCGCTGTAGTAACGCAATTCACTTTCGGTGAGCTGATCATGAGCGAAGTATTGTACTGAGCTATGATGGGGGTAGATGAAACGAACGGATGGTGTTGGATCACTGCGTTCGTGGTTGGATGGTCAGAAGAAACGGAGATCGATGGGCATATACTAGACGACTCGTTTCGCGGGCGTAGATACACATTGCACGGGCCACGAGAGCGTCGTTTTCTAAAAGCCAGAGGAAGTAGCTTGGCCTCAAACCTGGAGTCTATACGCCAAAAACAGCCCTTGCCATGATCGTCCTGGGAGCGGGGAACCTAGAAAATGAGAGAGTGATTAAAGTCCAAGATGTGGTCGGAAAACCCAAAGGTAAAGCGGTTATTATCATTGCTAGAAATAGATACCTCCCGTGACTCAACAATAATTTACAGTGAGAAGAAGCAGACGGTAAGCAGAACAAACCTTTATAAAATGTCGATTGAGAGACAAGTTGTGCCTGACAGAGTTCTGCCATCCTTTGTCCTGCGGATGGTAATACGGATAATTTTTACTGATGAAATCATAGATGCCACTCAAAGTTAGCTGTCTCTCGGGTTGCGTTGCGATGGCCTGGACGATCAGTTGAGCGTATGAGTACGGAGGTTTCGTATTTTTATCACCACGCTCCAAAGTGGAAATCCCAGTCAAACGCAACAATCCAGAGAACGAAGGCGTTCGATTAAACCCGGGAACCGCTGCTATCACCAAGTGACCAGGTAGGATTGACGCCTGTGGCTGTGCCAAACTACAGGTGACGTGAGTAGGCAAGGTGGGCAAGTGTGGTGCGCCCATGGGTGAGGAGACTCCTGGATTGTTGATCCGGACATTTTCCATGGGCAGATTGTTGCCCTCGCTGACAAGTGGACTGAAACGATGGAAACGTTAACGTTGTTGTACGAGAATTAAGATAGTTAGCACGCTAATACACACGCATTAATGAGATAACTCACAGGGGACGGTGCTGAACGTTCATGACAACAGAGGTTGTAGTTTGTATCGAAGAAGGATAACTTGAGGATACGAATGCCTGTTTCCGGCGTGTACGACTTTGAATTCGAAAAGTCTGCTCAAAAGCAGGATTGTTTGTAGGTAATTCTTCGGATTCACAGGATTTATCGCACACATCCTCCAAGGGAGTGGACGCGCGAGGTCGCTTTTCATATGACGCATAGTTATCATCATCAGAACTGCTTGTTAAAAGGACGGAAGAGTTATTTTCGTGCCTACTGTAGATAACCGCTTTGTTTCGTCTTGGCAACTTCCTCCTAGAGCGCTGTTTCTGATAAATGCGAATACAGATGGAAGTGCTGGGGAACCGTAAAACGCACCTACGGAAAATGAGGAGAAAAGTGGGAGGCGAATTAGGCTTGGCGAACGGGTGGTATGAAGATAAACTGATTCCAACACAATTTTATCAGGTGTATTCACAGATAAATTGGGATTCGAATGTTTCGGACAAGAAAAAACGTAGTGGCCTAATTCGAGTATGCAGCAACGAGCTGAGTGCCGAAACGTGGTAGATATAAGATGGGGATGAGAACAAAAAGGTAAACGAAAACGACAAGGTGAAAACAGCTGAAATGACGGTGCAATCACCGGCAGAGGAGCAAACGGGGTGAAGGGAACATCGGTTAGAGTATTCATCCTAACCTGGAAGACAAAGCACAGCAACCTGAGTCCCGCATTTCATTTAGTTTCCAGCCCTCAGTTGCCACAACAAAGAAAACAGTAGTCATTAAAGGTGAATCGCTACGGTATAAACATATAAACCCCACTGAAGAATAAAGATAATGAGAAGAAATGGACCAGCTGTGAAGCATACGCGTTATAAGCGACGGCATAGAGCTAAAGTGTGTGTAGTTCAGTATATCAGCTAAGATCTGTGTATCAAGGTGTGGTGGATCCAGTTTTCTTGACGCACGTCATCAAAACAGTAATAACAACTGTAATGAGGACAAGAACAGTGGAATGATAAGTAAACCGAATGGAGCAATCAAGGAGAGGAATGCAAGATAGTCCCTTAGTGATTGTGAATCTCCGATGAAGTGCCTAACAATTGATGCGGTCAAATTCCAGGTCCCTATACAGGAAGGAAACAAACACCGACTTGACTTCGTCCTTCCGTAGATTTCTTCGTACTGGTTGAAGTAACACCCGACCAGGTGCAGTGCCCACAAATAGCACACGCGACGGCGATCGACGCGCAGTTATGCCGGCTGGCCGGTGATCAAAGGGATGAGGTGCCTGCTATGTAACCCGAAGGTAGCGAGTTCCAATCGGCGTAGGTGCTAGAGGACTCGCAGCATTCCTAGTCTGCTGGCGAGACATTGTAATCGCGCAGAAGTAAAGCGTCGATAAGACGTACTGGCGTACTGCCAGTGCCATTCATCTGCCATGGCCGAGCAACCGGAGACGACTCGTACACATAAAAGGCACGCCAATGAGGTACCAGAATGCCCGTTAACGAACACCAGATGAGCAGCTACAGGGTCACACATACAGTTCTCCAAGCAAACATGAGTAACACTACGCAAGCCTCAGTGGTTAAACACAGTATCCACACAGCGGCGGAGGCTATGAACCATGGAGTAACAGTGACCGCAACACATATCGTAAGCCCCACCCTCAACTAATAGGCTAATATTCCAAAATCTCCACAAGTGACGGAGACTTTGAAAAGTCATACGAGCATTAGTAGTGCGTGCGGTAACAACCTCGGTCAGCTGATCACCAGACATAATATTGTGCCTAAATAATTGAACCGATCGACCGCTTCAAGCGATAGCCCAATGAGCGCGCCAGTCTAGTTCTGCAGTAGTGCCTTGCATTTTCGGATCCACAAAGTCCTTAACGGAGCACGCAGCGCATGCGTAAAAACTCAGCCCGATCCAAAACAACAGCCATGTTATCGTTGTGAGTTAAGATCGAGCTGAGGTCACTTAACAGAATCACTGACTCAGAAGCGAAAAAACCAGAAAGGAGTTGCCAATGATCAGTACAACCACAAAGTTGCAGAGAAATATTCCGCTTGCATTGAGGAACAGTACAAGCATACTCATCATTCAGCACACTAGCTAGGGGTGATAAGCGTCCGTCATTGTGCTGAAGTATAATTCGGACAGTTGGCAGAAAAAAGCGAAGGCAAAACAAAAAATTTCTATGCTCTGCTTTTTTATTATGCAACGTTCGTGAGACCGTGGTTAGAGGACGCCAAGCGTGAGGTGGGACAAAAACACAATACCAACATCAGCGAGGTCGGTTCTTCGCTATGCGAACAAAAATGCTTTACAAACGTTTCCATTGTCTTTCGAGAGTCGAGAGGATCTAACTGAAACCAACTTCGAAATGAAAGCAATCATTCGTTTTGATCAAGTCGTCAGTTGGCCTACCATCCACAATCCCGTCGCAGCAGTCAGTGTCTTGGCACGCATAACACACGACCCGGACATCGAAGCCCGGTGCGTGAAATAATGGTACTAAGCGGTTTACTTGCTCCTACTGCATCAGAAACCAGACGCCGAAAGTACTCATTTCTCATGCGGCGTTTGCACTAGATGTGAGCCAAACTGAGAAAAGGAAGGCATCGGCAGTACTCCGAGACCCAGTACCGACGCTTCGCTGCCGCACAACTATCACCGGTCGTAAGCAGGCTAAGGATAGTGCGAGAATCTCCCTGCTAATTGGCAGACTCGTAAACGCGCCGTCAGACTACAAGACAAGCTTGTTACCATTAGGCTACAGGCCGGCGTCAAACTGCCAGTGCACCGATGGAGGAACGCAACTAGCCCCCTTACGTCTGTCATTCTGATAGATTAGGTTTCAAAATAGAACAGGAGGGTTGAACGGAGGACTGCATTGTACAGTCTACCAACCAGAGCATGAGTGAACTCCCGTCGACACCATAAATGATGAAGTGGGCAAAAGCAGCTAGAGCTTTCAAAGTCAGATTTAGAACACCCGCCGTATGGATGGATTGCGACACGCAATCTATTGAGACTTCGGTTCCCTTTGAAGTAGACCTCGGTCATTCCGATCACTAGGAGCGTATCCGAATTGGTGTTTCGGTATTGCTCCTCCTAACACTGACAGCCCATAGCCGGTTTCACCCTCGTTTGGACACACCAGATGGAGTTAGCCTGAGCTGGGGTGGAACTTGGTGCCTAGTGGTTAAAGGCTGACACCCTGATCAATATGCCTCCAAGATACCGTGAGCAACGCCTTGTCACAGCTGTAAACCGATGAGAATGGAAGGAAAATCAACAACTAGCTGCAAGAAAGCGAATGCAGGAACGCCATTGACTGCGTGACTGTGTCAAGTCTGACACGGCCTCCTACCATTAGTGTGGACCATCTGGAGACCTCCCAGCCTAATCAAGTCTCCCAGTCAATTTCTTCATGCCTCTATGCCACGTCATGGATTGGCCATCTCGTGGTTTCGCGCAACTTGGTGCAGGCACGGAGTATAGTGCACACCGAGGAAGCCGATCAACGGGCATACGGAGGACATGGCCTAGTCAAAGTAAGTGAGTAAGATTCAGCAAAAAACTCGAGTGAGGCACCAGAAGGCTTCTTGCCAAAAACCAACTGGCGGACCTCAGCATTGCTCACCCGATGTTCCCACCAGACATGAGCAATACTTTGTAAGCACCGGTTGTCAAACACGATCAAGTATTTAATGTCTTCACTAAGAACTGGTCAGGTCTCTGATCCATACAGTAAAAATGACCGTACCGCAGCGTCATAACCCTACGTTTCACTGAAAAGCTGACATCCCGCCGTCTCCATAGATAGTTGAGTCTCTGGAAAGCCACACGGGTCTCGCTGATATGCGAAGTGACTTCCTTAGTGATGTGACCACCAGAGGTGACACAGCTACCAAGTTAACCGATGCACCAGTTCCAGTGGCTGTTCGGTGATAGTTAGAACCGGCGTGTCGGTCCATTCCTGCAGCAGTACTTTGCACTTTGGAGGTGCAAGGCACATGCCGAAGCGTGCGGCGCTACGCGTCAATCTATCCAGCAGTGTTTGCATGGCCACTGTGTCAGACCCAAGAAGAGCTATGTCGTCTGCATACTCCATGTTTGTCAGTTGGTTACCTGGCAGAACTTCCAATACATAATCGTTTGTTCAGTTCCGTCAAATGGAACTACTTTAAAGAGCCGGTTCGTTTAATGAATTGGGACAACTTTCTCTCTTCATGTTCTCAACAGGTAGCGGTGCCGCTAAAATGTGCCCACTAAACTAGGCATAAACCCGATCGTAAAGTGTTAAAGGCAGTACGCAAGCTTCATAAGATTCGGAGGAAATTCAAGCTAACTGCTGACTTTGCGCTACTATCCCAACGATCAAAAGACTGAGGTATCAAAATGACAGAACTCTCATTGTAGAAGAGTATAAAGTTTTGGACTGCCCTAGCTAACCAACTGAACTATCGCAACTATTCCGTGACCACGCGGCAACTCCTTCACTCTTACTATCCCATCCCTGATGGAACATACTTCGATGCACCAGGTGATATTTGTGTAACTTCCAGCGCTTATACTACCAAAGCAGCGGTTAACGAATTACCCGACACACTAGCGTTCATCACGCCGCACATCCTTGAAAGTCTATGTATAATGGACTTAACTATTGCGAAAATCCCTAGCCAAGTTTCTCGCTTATGCTCCTCGACTTACGCAAGGCCTGATGGAATCCCCTTTCTGTTTAATAAAATGCAGTAGTAGCGACCTGCCTCTAATTTGGCTCAATATATCTACACTCTGTTTTAACACCGGAGTAAATTTTACTCAATGAAAGACTTCTGTTGTTATCTCGCGACACAAAAATGGAGCAGTCACGAGGTTATGAACGTTCACTCTATCAATCATACACCGATCGTGTCCAGAATAATGGAAAGAATAGTGAGAGATGAAGTACTTATTTTGCTGAACCAGGCCAACATCATCAGGAAGTCGAAGTACGGCCAATCCTGCGTAACCAGGTAGACAGACTTTTTGAACCACATAACAGCTGCAATAGACAACGGTAAGAGCGTTATAATCGTGTTCCTGGACATACAGAAAGTCTTTGATAAAGTGCTTTATCGGAGGTTACTCAGTAACTTGAATTTCACAGTCATTGGAGAACCGATGTCACTGGAAGGCGATGATTTCCTATGACTATACATGTGGTTTAAGGCGATTGCGTGCTGCATTTAGTGATAATGCGCCTGCAAGAACCACCGTGTTTCAGGGGTTTGCGGAATTCAAGCGAGACAGGCGGTCCCTGGATGACAAAGCACGGTGGTGGACCTGTGGAAACCACCGCCGCGGACAACATTGCTGCTGTGCAAGCGATGCTGAAGAAGGACGCGTGGGTTACTATGGTACAGCTGGTGAAAGCCATCGGGATCTCATCTGGATCAATCCGCACTATCCTACACGAGAACCTCGGCCTCTTAAGGTTTTGCGCACACTGGGTACCCCATCAGCTCAGTGAGGATCAGAAAGCAGCTCGGGTGAATTGGTGCCGCACCATGCTTGCCAGGTTTGATGGTGGACGTTCCAATGCTGTTTGGGAGATCCTCAGTGGTGATGAGACCTGGGTGTACAGTTTCGACCCAGAGACCAAGCAACAATCGGCTCAGTGGACGGCCGTTGGTG